GGGTTCATTGACTCTGATGTGTATGTTTCTTCTTTTTATCATTGTTGATATTGTAAAAAGAGCAGCCTTTTCCTGAGTACTATTCTATACTGAATAAGGGAACTATTCATGTATTTTTATCAAGACTTTGCCATTTTGGCTTGGCTCAATGAATTCGTGTATTGTTTTTGAATTGTCTTTCTTTTTACTACTTTGCTGAAATTTCAGCAACTTCTTATTTAGAAATTAGAATAGGGCATAAATCAACACTATGAAATAAATTTGAAAGAATAACTTAGACTCATAAATCAATATCAATGCTACCCATGAAATAAATTTAAAAGAATAACAGGTTTAGCGTGGAAATATTCTCTGTCTCTTTGTCTCAACCGAGGAGGTTGTCAAATCCTTATTTCCATCCATCTCCTCTGTTCTGTTCTTATGCCTCTCTCAGGCTTCCTTTGCCTGTTGTTTAGATTAGTATAGTGAATAGCCAAACTATTTCTGATTTCGATTTTTTTCCCTTCCCATTCATTCTAGATAGCTGTCAGATTAATGTTTCTGGATATCTCTGACTTACTAGAAAACCATCAATGGCTCACCTTCCAAAATAAATAAAATCTATACAATTAAGCCCAATATTGCAGACCCAAATTTGTCTTTTACATTTGTTTTCTCTCGCTCTCCTCCTTCAGATTCTACTGCATTAGAGAAGCCAGATAATTATAATATCTCTGCACACTTTTTATGCTTTTCTACATTCATTACTTTGTTCAACTTCTTTCCTTCCTCTGGAAAACCTCTCTCTTCCCATATCTGTTTCCTCAAATTATAACTACGTTGGGTCCAGATCACATACAGTCCCTGAAACTGGCTATGATTTTTCAAGTTTCTGCTCTTCTTTAGTGGCTTTAATGATATGTCTCTTGATGACACCCAGCACTCTTGTATTCATATTAATGATTTGTGTACATGAGGACTTTCTTCTGGGAGACTATAGCTAATTGAAAATAGATAGGAGACTTTTTAAATTTTGTATTCGTGATTGAGAAATACTTATTTTCTTTCCTAAGGCGCCCAAATACTCAATAAATAGCTGATAGATGACTGAATCTCTTTGAGTAGATGGCTAAAAAAATGAGGGAGGGCATTTTAAAATAGCATTTCAGGATGTTTTGAGCAGTTTGTCTTGTTTTTATCTCTGAAACAGTTACAAGATTGTTGCTGCTGGGAAAGAAGAAGGATAATGGAGAAAAACATCTTAGGCAATACACGAACAATTGTAAGAACAGATGTAGCTTGTGGCCACATTATATTTAATAACAGTAAATTCTGCTTTCCAATGTGGTTAGGGAAGAGTTGGAAACTGAAGCAGGCCAGGTCAACTCGGTATGTACTTTTTTTTTCTAACAGCATTTTGCTCACCAGGCTCAGAATTTGAGATAGTGCATGGTAGAAAAACCCTGTAAGTTTAATTCAAAAACTGTTTTGCTATACTTAAAAAATAGCATTCTTAAAGTCTTAAAATAATTGCAGACAAACAACACAGGGGAATATGGTATACAGCCATGGGCCAAAATAATATAAATGATTTCATTTAAAAAACCCTCACAATTGTGAAATAGACACTGGATGCTGAATTTGACAGTGTGAATCTATATGGCTGTATTCTCTGTATATACTTAGAAAATGATCAGTGTATAGTGAGCTGTTCAGATCAGGCTGTGAGTCAGGTTAAATTATTATCATTAGGAATTTGCTTTCCTAATGATAATAAGGAAAATAAGGAAAGCAAATTCCTAATGATAATAATTTAACCTGGCTCACTAATGATCTCTTCTGGAGAATTGAGTTAATATTTGATAACTTGTACCTCACTTCTTTTCTTCTTTTTTTTTTTTTTCTTTTGAGACAGAGACTTGCTCTGTTACCCAGGCTGGAGTGCAGTGGCGTGATCTCGGCTCACTGCAACCTCCGCTTCCTGGATTCAAGTGATTCTCCTGCCTCAGTCTCCCGAGTAGCTGGGATCACAGGCGCCTGCCACCACTCCCAGCTAATTTTTATATTTTTAGTAGACATGGTGTTTCACCATGTTAGCCAGGCCGGTCTCAAACTCCTGACCTTAGGTGATCCACCTGCCTAAGCCTACCAAAGTGCTGGGATTACAGGTGTGAGCCACCGTGTCTGGCCCTGTCTCACTGTTTCTACCCAAGACAGTAAACAAGTTGAGCATCCCAAATCTAAATTGAAACACTCCAGAATCTGTGACTTTTGAGTACCAACATGATGTTCAAAGGAAATGCTCATTTGAACATCTAGGATTTCGGATTTCTGCATTTGGGATGCTCAACCAGTGTAATGCGAGTATTTCAAAATCTGAAAAATAATCCAATATCTGAACTACTTCTGGTCCCAAACATTTCAGATAAGGAATATTCAACTTGTATTTTATTTAAATTGATTTCCCTTATGGGTGTGTGTGTGGGGTGTGTGTGTGTGTGTGTGTGTGTGTGTGTGTGTGTGTGTGTGTGTGTGTGTGTGTGTGTGTATGGCTTAGGGAAACAATGGCTGTTAATAGAGGAAGGAGGAGAACTTCCTGGTCACTCATTTCAAAGAAACCATTTTGTGACCCCAACTCTTCCTGTCATGAGGGTGAGGAGTTTCTAGGCAGCGTTTTTCAGATTTAGAGTTTAACCTGCTTAAAAACATCACAGGAGATGATTGCAAAATGATTCGCATTTATGCAAATGGGTATAATGACTATGCCATTTTGAGAACCAGAATCCATCCACTATACATTTTTTAAAAATCCACATTTATTGACCAATGTGTGTTAAGAACTGTGCTGTGCTATAGCAGACATATTAACTCAATTGATCCTCAAATGATTCTGCATTTTCACTTTTATTTTAAAAACACAGGCTCTCTGGATGGAAAATAATAAGAAAAGGGTAATTTTGTTATTATTAATACTGTAGAGCATATATGGTTTTCCTCATTCATATTTTCACTTGATTTTGGATGAATTTGATCCATTGGGATAGGCAGGACAGAAATTTTGCAAATTAGGAAGATAAGGGAAAGATGCTAGTTCGTTGTCCAAGTTCATCAAGTGGGTAAATGACTGAACCTACAAACATAAATCCTTCGATAATTCAACAGTCCTCATTTCTCAATCACACCAAAGTGGTTAAAACCAAATTAAATACAAGGGGACAAAAGTCAAAATTTGAAGAAGAAAGCCTGGTTAAAGGCATCCCCACCATGAGTAAAGCTTGTCCCTGGATTGGGCTTCTTTGGAGATGATGCTGATACTTACTCCTGTTTAATATAATATTATATATGTGGATAATATTACTATATTGTTATAATATATAGTATACTATATATTATACTATATAAATATACCTGTGTATACTATATAGGTATAATATTCTCTATAATACTAGATATGTCCATCAAAAGTCAGGTTCAGCCCTTGAACTTTGTGCTTTGCGTCTGTGTACTATACCTTAAGAGGAACACAGGGTATGGAGGGTCATCCAGAGCAGAGAAGCCAGCTTCATGAAGGAGACTTTGATCTGAATCTCTATCATATCTGACAATGTTAGTGTGTTAGAATCACTGAGAAAGTTCAGCCAGAGGAATGGAAAGCTTTGCTGGGAAGAATCAGCATCCTGTGGACTGTGTAGATTCATTCTCCAAGCTTTACCCAGGAAGGCCTGGGGCAAATGGTTGGAGACTATGGGGAATTAGTTCATTTTAACCAAAGAGTGACTAAAATATTTTAACTGCACAGATGTGAAAGAGACCTTGTTGTGAGGTAACAAGGGAAGGCTAAACTTTATTAACAACTACTCTAGCAAGTGGTATCATTCCAGGTTATTACTACTACTGAAGCACTACCAACCGTAAACTACAGACATTTATTCACACTTAGTGTGAATCAGATTCAGAGGGATTAAATTGCTCAAACACACAGCTAGCAAATAACTGTAAGTCTTTTGTACTGGTTGTGAGATTGGACTAGATGACACCTTCAAAAATAAGATATTGTAACTCTATGAAAACGCTGCCTTACTTTAATGCCTTGCGAAGAATGAATCTAAATGGAACCCAGGGGGTTGACAAGTAAATAGGATGCTATTGACAATGAAACACTGAATCTTTCACAAACCAAAGAGAGGGATATGTACGGCTTCGAGAAATTAACAAGAACAAGAATGAAATAATCACCATCTGCCTCATTCCCCGGAACACAAAGTGAGAGAAGGCACAAAATCAGCAAGGGTCACTTTTGAATCATGGGGCTAGTTTTAAATAGAAAAGATATTTGATAGAAAGTTTAGTAAATGAGGAATGGACAAGGAGAAACACACAGCTAAATCGAAAATAAGAAAAGGGAAAAACTGGAAAAATATCTCAGGTACATCTACTTAAGATTTGGTTTCTGATAGTTCTTTAAAAAGGATGAAACATCAGGAGAATGATCCCTGCACCAGGCTGAGATGCAAGAGACCTTGGCTTTTGTCCCAGATAAAAGTTGGCAAAATGTCTCATCTGGTTCTGTGATTATGTCTCTGCACGGACTCTGGTCCAGCACAAAGACTCTCCCTCAGGCCCATTTCCATCTTCTTCTTTGTGTACTCCAGCAATAGAATCCATTGGGTAACCCTGAGGCAGTGATTTTAGTTTTCAACCTGAAGGTCCGGATGGTTTAGCCAAAGTGTAAGTCAGTCCCTGAGAGAAATAACAACACAAGGTTATCAGAGCAGTGTATGCTGTGACTCTCAGATGTCTGAAGGCTGTCATGTGAAACGTGACTGTTAATGGAAAGAATTAGCACATAGCCACAGCTACTTATAACATTGACTTAAAGTAACAGAGTCTCTCACAAAACAGTTTTATTTCCTTCCCATGTAAAAATTGGAGGAGAGCAATTCTACTCAGCTGTCAGATACCCAGGCAATTTCATTATGTGCTGATGAAATCATTTCACCATCTCTCCAGTGCTGTCCTCATCCTTGTGGTTTTCCAGAGCTTGTCACCACATCCATTTTTCAGGTAGCAGGTTGGAGCAAGGAAAAGGAGACGATACATCTCTTCCACTTTAAGTTTCAGACATCTCATTAGTCAGAACTTGGTCACGTGCCACATCCATCTGCAAGGGAAACAAATAGAGTCTCCATCCTGAGTGGTCATGTGATCCAGATAAAAACTCTATTACTATGAAAGGAAAGAATGGACTAACGAGGTAAACAAGTGTCTTCATGGAAATGTGGCCACCCATGCATCAGCACACACTCCCTGCATCTCTCTCTTTTCACCACTGTAATTTTCAATAAAACCACACTCCAGTCATTTGTTAAAAAGTGCATGTTAGTATTCTCGCTATACAGACATTCTCAACGTTTCATTTGGCCGATTTATTAAAGTCAGCATTTGGGGCAGGCCATATGGGTGTGTTTAGCTGCAGTGAATCAGTCATTTTGAGTAAAGGAAATGTCTTTGGAAGGACATTGCTGAGAGAGCCCAGCATGGGCTTGAAGTGATGAATGCTTTATTTTGCAGAGTACATTAGACCAGGTCATTCTGAGGGTGAAGGAGTAAGGTGGGGAAAATCAGATATTCTAATTAGAGAGCTGATGATGGATTATACATTTTAAATAATTCTCTCAAATAGGCAGAGAGAAAAGGCTTTTCACGATACAATCAGGAACTAACACAGTCCCAATGGCAACTGGTAATGATTAAACTGACTGGGGAATGATTTGGAGACATAAAAGGGAATATATAAAAATATTGGAAAGAAGCATCCATCATTAGCTAGGGGAGAAACCTGAAAACCACTGCAATAATAAAACTGAGGAAAAACAAGTGCTTCACTCAAGAGTCTGAGATTGGCACAAATACCAAAGTATTCTCCAGAAATTTCAACCTAGTAGGATGCACTGATGAGGTGATATTCCATCCCATACCTTTCACAGTATTTTAAGGTTCTCTTATTTCCACATTAAAAAAATAAGAAGTAGAAAATATTTGAAACAACTGTTCACCCTGAGTCTAGTCAGATTTTTGGCAGTTATATTCAGCAACGTTTTTAGGAGAATGTTATATTTCACTATGACATCAAAAGCTGGAGATTATTTAAATTCTTCTTGACTCAATCCTTTATACCTCGGAATATTTAGAAAGAGCTGTTTTCCTTGCCAGAGAAAGCACCTGAGAAAATAAGGCCTTTGATTTTTTTATATGGGCCTATCCAAATACTCTACTGCACATGACATTTTTTAAAATTTGGGTTCACTAAAAAGGAACTTTACAAATATTCACACAAAGATAGGTTTCATTGCTTGTACATTCGTATATGTACACACATACCTATGTCTGTGTGCACGTGTGCAGATGCCATACAAGAAACTTACCTCATTGTTTAATGATTGTTGCACACAAACTTTGCTAAAAATACATAAAAGTACTGATTTTACAGATTGTCTAATAGTTGGTTTTTGTTTGAATTATAGAAAGTAATTAAGTCTGCTGTGACGTTTGAAGAAAACCAGCAGTGTTTTCTTCTCAGATGTTTTCAGTGTTAAAGTCCAAAGAACTAGGATGAGGATTGTGTTTGTCTCCAGCTATGTGTACTTTAAATAAGCTGTTAAGTAAATATTTTTTTTGTGATGAGATTTTCTAATAGGCACTAATTAAGATTTTCTGATTTTTTTCTTAAATGATAGAAACAACTCACTTCAATTCTACTTCTGTTTAACTCTGTATGTATGAAGCACATTTGAAAATATTCTTTAAGGTGTAAGTATTTGTTATCAGCATTTTATTATTTATACATCTTTTTAGTCAAAATTTTAGAACAGTGGCCACATAATTTTTTGGAGTAAAGTAGTGGTCTATTTTTTTAAAGAGGCATTTGAGGGTTCACTGTGGATAATAATCTATTTCTGGAAGCACTCAGCTAGAAAAAAAGAAGTTAAAGCAATTCCAAATTTTAACTAGCATCTTTAAAATATAAGAACATCATTTCCTAGGGAAACAATGAAAGCAACGAACAGTAATGTCATTAAAAAAATTAAATAGAGAACTTCCACAAGCATTTAAATGATCAGAATCAACTTTGAAATATGTGATTTAACTAAATCTGTTTTACCTTAAAAATGAACCAAGTTAGTATGATATAATTTATGAGTAAAATTTGCTGAAATCTTGAGCTTTATGTAGTAAGAGTTTGAGAGTGCATGAGAATCAGGCAGCAAGAATGAATAAGCTGTGAAAAAGCAAAGCCTCCTTTTTGTAGGCCGATTTACTTTATGGGCTGAAAAAAAAAACTGCTTTCAGAAAATATTCTGACATTAACAAGAATGCTTTAGGAACAGAGATTTCGGTCTCTGCCTTCATACTTACCAAATCAACCACTTGTAATGCTGTGTTGAGAAGCAGTCAAAATAAGCTGAGATATAGGGGCCTTAATGACTGGCTCACTCCCTTTTCTTCTTTTTGGCCCTCTGAAATCACTAGTATATACAAACAGAAACTTAGAAAAGAAATCTCTCTTGTGAGAGTCAAATACAGTGTTGCCCAACAAATGCAGTGACCTCACCTCCTCACTCTTCAGAAAGTCCTCTGATCACCTCTGCTCACAAGCGCTCCTTTGGGAGGGGTGGCCCTCCTGACACCTAGGCAGGGGACAGGCCATATTACGCTAGCTCTTTCTTGTTACAAATATTAAAACCACCATACCCATCTATATTACCCTGTTTTCATGCAGCTGTAAAGACATATCTAAGGCTCGATAATTTATAAGGAAAAGGAAGTTTAATTAACCCACAGTTCTACGTGGCTGGGAAGGCATCACAATCATGGCAGAAGGTGAAAGGCACTTCTCACATGGCAACAGACAGGAGAAAAGAGCTTGTGCAGGGAACCTGCCCTTTATAAAACCATCAGATCTCATGAGAGTTATTCTCTATTATGAGAACAACACAGGAAAGACCCATCACCATGATTCAATTACCTCCAACTGGGTCACCCCCACAACACATGGGAATCCAAGGTGAGATTTGGATGGGGACACAGCCAAACCATATCACCATCCTTACATAAATTTGCCATTGAAATGCTGATTCTTTGGTCAAAATGACCTAATATTACCTTTACCCCTGATTCTTGATTTTGAAATAAGTCCTATGAATCTGTAAGTTACTAGTTCTTTACTTGAGAGCTGCCTGCTTATTTCCTGATTACAGAATAAGGCAGTAAAAATATACAGGATGGAATCCCCTCAAAGACAATGCCTCTGGAGAGAGATCCAGCAACTAACTCACAGGGATGGGCCAACCAGTTCAGGGCAGCCTGCATTTGTGGAAAACTACTCTAAACCATAAGAACTTCACTCCAAACATACTAATAATTAATGTGACATGTTTGAAATGAGAAAGAGAATGCAATTCTATAAGGTGGTCATATTAGCAAACTGGTTTTTAGAGAAAGAATGTGCGCTCCAGCTCCTTTGGAGGGAGTTGCTTGATAATTTCCAGTATCTGAAGTCAAAGTGAGGATGCCCTGTGCTGATTCCGATCCCCCTCACAGGAGCACTGTTACAGCTGATCACTGCCAGCCAGGAGCAGCCTGTGTGTTCTGTGTGTGCTAGGACAGGAAAAATGTTCAAAAACACAGCCACAAGGTAATAGAATATCTCTGTCAAAAAAGAAGCAGGGTCACTTAGGATTGGAAATGTTTGAGCTGTAGAAACGGTTGAAAAACTAAAGGATGCTTTTTAATTTGAGGTACCATTCTTTTCTTGCCCTCCAAACAGAATGGAAAATAGAACCTACGTGAGCACGCACACACACACTCTCACAGGCACACATGTGGACACACATTTTTGCCCTCTCACCAGAAAAAATGTTGTATTAGAGAATAATGCAAACAAGGCAAGGAACAAGCAGAGCTTAGACAAGACATTCATTTATTGTTACAAAGTGATTTGTGTCTACTCATTGCCAAATGACTGGAACATGCAAAAATGGAAACTTGGGAATTAAGAAACCCCAAAACACCAAAACCCACCTCCCACTCCATTGATCAACAAATAGTGCACTTAGCATCTCAATGCCCTACCCCTCACCAAAAAAAGCCAACCTTTGACTCGGAAGCCTCCTTTTATGTTTATCTTTGAACATGGAAAAACAGTGGGCTTTGCTGTTTTACTGGTGTTTAAGTCCCAATCACTGGTCCTTACTTAGGGATGGGGATGCTCCTGCATTTTTAATGTCCTCACGTAAGTAGGTTTTTGGCAATTGCTCCTGCACTTTTCATTTCAGTCACCTGGGCAGGGCTTCTACATTCTATTTGCCTCCTTCAGAGAAGAGGAAATTTCTGCAAATTATTTTCTGTTTATTCTGTGGTAAGATAAGTCACTTCCTTTAATGCTCAACCTTCTAATTTGAAAATGAAATGAAAGTGAGTGTGAATATTGATATGACATCAATGCTTTAGAGATTGGGGGAAAATTCCCCTTGATCGATGACTGATTTAAAGATGTGAAGAGTCCTATGTGGGGAAAATCAAGTCCTGGTCCAAACTTCCCTTCTTGTTCAGATGGTTTGGCTGTGGCACATGCTATCTGATTTAGAGGTTTCTCTTAATCCTGCTATTTCCTATCACACATCAGGAGCTGTCACAACATTGCATATGTGTCTGGGAAAAACCATAAGTGATACAACCAGGGCAGATCTAAAGACCTAAGAATGGTGAGTAACTTTTTATTTTTTCATCATCCTGCCCAATATCCTAACCACCTCTTCACAAAAAAATAAAAATAAAAAAGATTAGCTGACCACTTTGACCACTTTTTTTCATTCAAAATGAATCACTGAATTCCATAGATTAACTGTGAGTTCTTAATATCTCAGGCTGCCTTCATTGAATAGACAGTTTTTAAAGGAAAAATTGGCACTTAATCAAGCAATAAAATGGTAGTATTAAGGAACCTTTAAGAATTAAGATCAAGGAGGCAATGCTCCATTATTTCATCATTTAAATTTATTGGGGTTTTTGGGAATATATGAGTGAGTTTACACCCAATTGAATTTCATTTTCAAATCAGAAGGTTGAGCGTTGCAAAGAGGTAGTGACTTAACTCATATAATGAGCTTCCCGAAAGAGGTGTGGTTGGAATTAGAGCTTGTTCCACTCCTGCCAGTGTTCACAGAGCAAGTGCGCTTTCTAATAATGTACATTCATATGTTGCTTCGTAATGGTCAATTTCCACATACATCTTTTCTTTTAACCACACTTATATTATGTGACAAACATTCTCTTTCATAGGCTAGAGACCATAGATTATAGGCTACTGCAAAGCAGGGATCTTGTCTACTTTGTGCACCATGCTGTTCATATGGCTGCTGTGTTGCATGCTTAGTGTCAGGTGTCGACTGGAGGAGTAAAGATGGGAGAACTTGTCCCACAGTTTCAAAGCAGCGCTGTGGCCTTTTCTCTACAAATTGTTATTAGACCTCTGCTCAAACATTTTCAGTGATGAGAAACTCATTACCTTCCAAAGCAGCCATTGTACGTATCCTTTCTTAGTTTGGTGTAGTTTTGCCTGTTTGTTTTTGCTTCACAGCTCCTCAGTGTCTTCTCTTCTACTCAGAGTGGCTCTGTTAATGACGATTGGGTTGCTGGGCTCTTAGGGGCAGACACATAGCCTAGAGTAGGTCTTTCACAGCAGCCATTCCCCATCTCCAGTCACAGGTCCAAGATGTAACCACTTTGGGAACCAGTCATGGTTCTTCATCATACCTGACAAACAGAAGATGAAGGAGAAAGGGCCACTTGATTTTTTTCTGATTGCAAACTCTGATAAACCTGATTGCTTCCAGTGGCCATCTTTGCTCTTGTGTATCAAGAGGCAGCCTGAGAAAGAAACCAAACACAAGATAAAAGCCAAACAGAAATGGAGAGCATGATGGCAGCTATTGAAACCTCTAAATCCTGTTCCTAGAGCTAGCTCTACCTTTGGGTTTCTCAATACCTTTCTCTTTTTTTTTTTCTCTCTCTCTCTTTTTGTTTTACTACTTATAAACAAAATAGGTCTAACATGACCACCCATTCCATGATGAGCCAATTTTGACTTTTGAAACATTCTTATATGTAGCCCAGATCTCCTTTATAGAGACAGGGAGAACAGTGTAACTCTTTCATGTAACAATGTTTCTGACACTTGGAGAAAGCTACCCTCTTTTCCTCAGCTTTTGCTTAAGTCTTCTGTCCAGGTTATGCATCCTATGCTGTCAACTTCTCTTCCTGTGATAAAGTGCCCCACACCATCTTAGTTGCTAACATTTCATTACATCTCCATTTGCCCACAGCTATTTTAACATGAGGGGGGATTAAACACAATGATCAGCAACATAACACAGGATGATAATTTTCTTTCGTTCATACATTGTATTTTTTCCATTGCTCCCGAAAGTCTCATTGGCTTTTTCAATGTTATAATACGTAATTGACTTGAAATACAAGTATTATCAATTGAAACTCTCAAGCCTGACACATCGTTTTGGTAATAAATTATGTCTTCCATAATCTTTAATAATTTTGTTCTTCTTAACTGATTTTACCTTTATTTCAAATTAACTTCCATTTAGATAGAAACGTTCCATCTTTTCTATTCATTGGCTTTTATTTTGGGTCTATCAGAAAATGAATTTGCTATTTCCTTTCATGTTATAGTTTCAGAAAGCTATGTTTAAAGATTGTGTTTTTAAATTTTTTGTTTATTTATTTTTTGTGATAACATCAAGGAAGTTAAGTGTGTCTAAGGCAGAATGCTATTTAGAAGTCCAAGACAGTTATTTAATAGTTTTCTTAGATAAATGTAATGTTTATTTATTTGTGGATCTTTTAGTTTCCTAAATCTTTATTCATCTTGAAGCTCTGGTGACTATTAGTGTAAAGAATGTGATTTTCATTCAGTTCCTGTCTGAAACACTCGGAATAAAAATGGTTTCTTTGCTTCATTTGCCAAATATTCTGCACAGTGCTTATTTTGTATTTTTTCCCATATTAAGTGTAAGACAAGACTCATTGGCACTTTATAAATAAGAAATTAATGCCGAAAAGGAAGCCACTTCCAAAAGCAGTATTTCCCCAGGAAATAAAAAAGAGGTAAGATCAGTACCCCCAGAGTGTTTACAACTGTCTTCTGTCTGTTCCCCTTCTTCTTTTACAGGATAAAATAAAAATTGAGAAAGAATTTAGATAATTGAAACTAAAAATGTGCTGCCTTAGTTATTTCAATTTTTCATACAAAATGTATGCTTGGCTTGAGGTATATTATTATCTCTCATGTTTTACTTATAGTCTTATTGAATTTTATAGGAAGGAAAAAGGCTAAAAAAATTAAACTGGGTTGCATGTGTATGTGTGTGCGTAAAGGCATATTGATAACATAAAGCGTAAATATTTTATAGAAAGATTATTCCATGAGGATCAATTAATGTATTAAAGAGAAGGCAATGTTATGACTGATCAGATTCATTTCAGTGTGACCCAGATTAAAGCTTTTTACTCTTAACCCGTGTTTTCTGCATTTGCTGGGGTGGATTTTCCCTTTTTACATAGCTGGATAGGAACATTTTCGTGTCTCCTCACTATAAATTTGCTCAAACAAAGCACTAAACAAAA